AATCAGCCCTTGAGATTTCCCTTCCTGGTTACCTTCTCTCTCCCTAATCCTCTCCTTCCTCCCCCAGCTGGCACTGTCCCTCATCCTGCCCTGATTCCGCATTGGTGGGGGTAGGGGTGTGCCCCAGTGCTCAGCAGGTGGTGATAGGATGCTCTGGGCAGTCAGGGGAGGAGAAAGTCTGTGAATACCCCCACAGGGCTCACTTTCCTTCCATCACACCAGATGCTCTGCTCACCTGCTGGCATGCACTGCCCTACTCCCAACACCACTGTTCCCTGCCCAGTAACCTTCCCACAGGTGACCCTTTCAGAAACCAGCCCCTTCCGTCTTGTGGGCACATTCCAGAAGTAGGTATGTGCTCCAGTGCCCAGCCCTAAAAAACATTGGAGCATAGCTAATGAGAAATCAATGCACTCACCCTTTTCCTTTCTCCTGGCTCTCCTAAGGTTTGTGTTTGGGGAGAACTTAGTGTATCCTCCATGGACAGGTGCATGAACATCTGAACTGCCGGATGCAGGGAGCAGTAGAGATGGGGCTGGGTGGTGGGCAAAGCTGTGCTCTGCGAGCTATGGAAGGACGCAGCAGCAAGCCAGGACCAGATGTGCCCAGGCATAATGATGCTTCAGAATTATTTACAAGATAGGTTAAAGGGGAGGCAGTTTTATATACCTCCCATGGAAACACGGGCAGCTGAGAAATTATTTTAAATGGAGCAGGCAGCCATCGGCCTTTTTTTGTCTTTTGTACCATTTTACCTAAACTTACACTGCCTTCAGCGTAGCTGCAAGTATATCATAAAAGACACATACCAACAGCAGAAGATAATACTGATGAGGTTGCTCTAGGCTAACTTTTTTTTAAAAAAATCACAAAGCTCTGATGACCTTCATTTGTTATAGAACAATAAAGTATAAGAACTTAGAGGCTAGCAGTAAAGCCCATGACATTGGTCAGCATTTCATTTTACAATAATTAATGCAGTCATCTGAAATCACTGGATGCTACTGGCATGTATTAGGCACCTCTGCTAGGGACCAGGGCTCCAGAATTCAGCAAGGCTTTCTGTACTGTGATGTCACAGCACTTTGTTCACAGCAGGAGAAGAAAATGATGCTGAGTAGCCTTGCTCATATAGCTCCTCCGAAGCTCAGGGACATACTTCATTTAGCGACAGTGGTTTACTAAACATGTATTGCCTGCCCCCTGTTCCCCTAGCACAGAACTGGGCAGCAGAAGTTAGACTGGACAGGTATTAAAAGGGAAGGTGCTGTGTCAGGCCGTGGGGCTGACCGATCTGAGGTGTAGACGTGTGAAATGGAATCACACAGCCAGTGGACACCAGGTCATCAGGTGTGACTGGGACTCAGTGTGTGTGTGGCACCTCTCTGCCCTGAGGTTGGGACCTATTTTTATTCCTGCGTAAGTCAACCTGGAGAATGCATTATCTGACATCCCCAAATGAAGTCCGTGACCTCCTAGGATTTAGCACTTTAAGAATGCATTCGGTATCCCTATTAGTCACTGCCACCTCTGCATAGAAACTCCAAGCCAGTGGTTCTCACCATGTGTTCATTAACATCACCTGGGGGCTTTGAAAAATCCTGGTGACCAGGGCCAGCTCAGAACAATGTAAATAGGATCTCAGGGCCGGTGGCCCAGGCATTACTATTTTTAAAACTCCCCAAGCTGATTGAGTCATTTTGACCTTTATTTATGGAAAAGCAACTGACACAGAGCTTACCAGTAATTATGATACTAGTGTAAACTGGAGAGAAGCGCTGACTCCTGACAGCTTTCTAGTTTTACCTCTATCAACAGAGAGACCCAAGGCGAACAGTTTTGAGCCTTGACTTGACAAACAGCGTTAGCTCATCTTTGCACACAAACCTAACTAATGTGTGTGCTGATCTTCATTGAAGATCCTACACAGTTTCCATAATAAGAAGCTATGGTTATCCTAACCTCCCATAGACCAGTCTGAAAGCCACTTACTTAGACCTTATTACAGGATGATAAAAAATATATAAAAATGGAGATTGTTATAAATTCAGGGATCTCAAAATGCTTAAGGGGAAGACTATAGAAATTATAGTGACCACCACGTAGACATACCATGAAGATTGATGGTTGTGAGGCTGTGAAGAACATCACCTTTATGCTCTTGCATTCTGGACCATTGAAAGCACAATATGGATGATAGTAGCTCTAGGGACTTGTACGGTGTCATAAAGAAACACATCAGGAATTTTAGCAGAGAAGCTGAAACTGGTGGAAGGACAGGAAAAGGGAAAGATAAAGAAAATCAGATTATTCCTCGTGGCAATTTAAAGTTCAATGACTTTGAACTCTTCTTCTCTTTTGGATTTCTATCTCTATATACTTGGAATTTAACAACCTCCAGTTTTAAGTTCAATGCATTAAAAATAAAAACCAATTTGAGGCACCGATATCATATCACATTTTGACAGTTTGGCTGGGTCTTGAGCTGAAGGGCACAACTTCTGGGTTGTTCTGCTGGAGGTGACCAATAGACATTAAAAGAGTTTCTTATCATCAATAGTAAGGATTACTGGCCCTTCCCTAGTCACGGTGGCTATTCTTTATCTATTTTTCTTCCCTGGGCTCTTTTATTTAACCCCTAGAAGCCAAAGGGTTGATGCAAAAGGGAACTATGGTTAAGCACCCAATAAAATAGAATTCAGGAAAAAGCCTCTGAGGTCTACAGTGAGTTAAAACTTTAAGAAGAAAAGGTAGCAATCAAAGAGATAAATAAGGATTTTAAAGCTACATGCCCAATTGTATGTGTCTACGTAGACCACTTTTAAGCTTTCTGAATGACAGTGGGAAGTAAATGAGTAACAAATCGATTGCAAGCTGTCTAGGTAACAAATATTACATGGCTATCTGGTTAAAAGGAGTGTTAGCTTAGCAATAACTCTTCCTTCTTTAGAAAGCAAGACATTTTTTTTTTCAAATGAATGATGAAATATTTCATGCAGTAAAAAAAAATGTGGAAGGGCAGGACCTTTATCCTCAAGGTAACTGATTATTCAGTATAACTAAAACGGGTGTTGATTGATCTGTACCCAGGTCTTCAGCATCCGGTGTTGCACTGTTTTCCATGACATTTGGCAGTATATACCACCATCACAATTAAAACTGTGAGGTCCCTTCTAGGCATTGTTGACTTTAGTGATGTTAGAGTTCTTTGTTTCAGTAATTGCATCGCACCTTTCACTGCATCTGTGAATGAGAGGAAGGTGGAGAAGTAACCAGAGCTCCTCTTCTTGCACCTCCAGGAGCTCCCAAGCTGTGACTTGGAAACTAATCAAGAGCCTTGGTTGGGTTAACCATTCTGCCCTGTTCTCTAAGCTCTTTCTCTCCCAACTCCATTCAGAGCTTCTGTGCCACACGCATACCATCGCTGACCATGTGCAGAGGGGTCTGACTCAGGATGGCAGTCTTGGTGTCTCTGACACACTCATCATCCTCTGGGCTCTGCCAATCCCATCACCCATGGACGAGTAACCAGCAAGATCACATTTCTGTCATGCATTAGCGTTCTCAGAATTGGGTCTTTTGAAGTATTGGAAAGCGTTGGGGTTATAGCCTTATAAGAGTCCCTTCCTTCATATAGTTTTATTATTACATCCACAGTCTTGTCATTTCCAGAGATGTAAGTACTTACATGGTCCCATAGTAATCTAAGCATTATGAAATCTGAACTGCTGAGCAAAACCTATCTCCAAAAACCCACATAGGACAGCAGTGCTGAGTAATCCATTGATATTGCCAATAAAACCAAGCCTAGGTTTGTGCCATACTTATATCCAGTTGTCCCCTTTGGTCTTAGAACATATCAAATACTAGCTGATTTTTGTATCATAAAGTACACTGCTGGCTCACTTTTAATGACATATGCAATATTATTACTTATCCATGAGCAAAGAAGCCAAACTTTTGACTAAAGCAATTTCCTGAGCTACTACTTATATAGCCCATTGAGTTCCTTAAACGTCTAAATATCTTCAGAAAAAAGAAAAAACTGAAAGACTGAAAATAATGGTTGCCTCTGTGAAGCAGGAATTGGGGGCTGGGTGGGTGTCTGCTTTTCTTTGTTATACCGCCAGTGCTATGTGACAGATTACTCTGATAGAAGTAAAGCTGACTTAAAAAAGAGAGAGGCCGGAGGAGCTATCATAACATCCTTTCGGGACATCTCAGGGAAGGTGGGAGGAATTGTTGGCTATTTTTATTTTCTTCTTTATGTTTTCTAAATTCATAAAATCCTCCATAACGTATTTATATGGTTTTTATAACAAGAAATTATATATATGCTTTTCATGTATTAACTAGATATTTGAAAGCTTCATGGAGGATTAATGTGGTAGGATGCATTCTGCATATGCTCTAAATTGAAAAATACAATTTCTGTGGCAAAGCAGAGAACATATGAGTCTAGGCCTGAATGCTCAGTGGAAGGCGAGAACACTCCGTGTGAATATATGCTGAAGGCCTTGAGCAGGTGGGGATCGGGCATTTGTGGCAGAGAAGGAAGTTCAAAGCAATGTAAGGGAGGTAAGCCAGAAGGGGGGATGCTGCTTGGCACCTGTCCCCTGTGAACAAGTGTAAACACTTTTAGAAGGTGGTTGAAAAGAGGGCCAGAGAGAGTTGGAACCAGGTAGGCAAAGAACAGACAGCTTCAGGGCCTTTCCACATTCTGAGCAGGATATTTCCATTTAAATGAAAGCTGGCCAAAGCAGGTTTGCCAAGAGACCGTTTATCCTGCATTTGGGAAGGAAAGCAAGCACTGAAAGCAGGCCCTGCCCTGTCAGCCTGTCTGGAGGGAACAGGAGGTGGGTCTCAATTCACATTCGTCTGTTTTCACCTTGATGATCACAGAAATGGTTTGCTAATTCAGACGCTTGGAACTTGGGAATGTCAGGAAGGGAAGAATCACTCTGCCTTCCCCACTTAATAAGAGCATTCTGTCTTCGCAGGACGGATGGTCACAGTATCACTTTGTAGCCTCATCTTCAACCATCGAGAGGGATCGGCAAAGGCCCTACTCCTCCTCCCGCACGCCCTCCATCTCCCCTGTGCGTGTGTCTCCCAACAATCGCTCAGGTAAGAGACGCCCAGAACCAGCCAGGCCTGAGTCCCCTCCTTCCCAGCCCCGTAGCTGACCCCCACAGGGAGGAGAGCCATCCCCTTCCGGACGTTTGCTGGAAATATCAAATGATTGCTATCTTTTTATTGCAGTGGCAACTTTGGGTTACTCAGACTCAGAACTAATCTCTAACAGATTTCTAAAAATCTCTGACAGGTGGCGTGTCATGAAATGCATGTCACAGGCCTACATTCAGTGAGGAACATAGATAAAGAAAACTGCCAGGTGTTTGCAAATCAGCGTTTTCCAGAGATGTTTTTCCAACTTAAAATAGTTTGAGTTGCATTTTATTAATTGTAATTGGGATACAGAGTAGGGGGAGAGAGGACATGCTATTTCTTCATTCAGAATGACATATATCTGAACCACATCATTGAGGATTTCATTACTGTTCCATATCTGATTAGTTTTTTATTATTACCTTTCAACCAATGAGTGAATCATTGATAAATTCTTATTACTACCAACCATAACTTTTAAATCATTTATGTTTTGCTAATTTTGTCACCTGCTCATTACTTTACTTTTATACCCTTTTTCAATCATGTCATATAATGCCAAAGATGAGAGAAAGAAATTAAAGGCAAAATATGAGCACAATGTTTAGTATATACATGGCATAGATTTTATTGTGGTTTTACTCAAAGTATAAGTCTTTAAAACTTTTGTTTTGATTTCTGCATTTTGGTTTTTGTGGTGAGAAGGATGGATAAAGAATTGTATGTACATATACATGCTCACACATGCTCATGTACATACGCGCGCGCGCACACACACACACACACACACACACACCCCTGCATAGGCTTCTATTTAAGAAAGTTTCTCCTGCTCCTCGCTGCCCTCTCACTGCGGAGGAAATAATATTTCCTGAAACTGCAGCTCAGCGGGCATGACAGAGAGCACACACCGCAGAGGCCCCTCTGTCCTTGAGAACGTCTGTCATAAACCTGCACCACACAGAACTGTCAGGATGACGAGGAAAATCAGAAATGAATGGGGAATGTGTGCCTGAAATAAATGACCCACTCCTGGCCCCGTAAACGCTTATATTTCTTAGTGTGGTCTTACTGCTTGTAACGTTTAGTCCCACACTAGACGAGTCAGGACCCCACCCCGTGTGACCTGAGAAATTCCCGCCTGTCTCAGAAGCACGGAAAAGGCCTGTTCTGCATTCTTTCCATCATTCTTAGAAAGATAAAGAGCAGTGAGGAGAGTGTCTTTGTAAAAGCTCTAATTACTCAGCGTTAGGATCATGAAATGACATGATGCCTTGGAAGGTGCTGGAAGGAGCAGCAACACCCTATCAGGTTGTCAACATCCCAGCCATTCAGCTTAAGGTATTTCCTAGGCGAGGCACATCAGAGACACATCAGAGACACCTCATAAACACTCATTTGCATATGATCTTTCCAGATATCAGGTAGGTTTATGGAGACCACTGTGCGTGAGGTCTCAGGAGATAATTACACACTTGACATAGTTTAATAAGGCCCACCATCTGTGCAATATTAGATTCTAATTTTAGAAGCTTTGGTCAAGAGGCTCCAAAATATTGTCTCTTTGTGATTGCCTGCCACTGGCTAACAAAAGGCTCCCTTTGATGTAGAAAGGCCTAGAAGCAAAGGGGCAAGGGCAGGAAAGGGTCTCTCCCTGGAGGGAAGGTGTCTTCCCATTGGATTTACACCCAGAGGTTCTGGTCCAACTGGTTTTGTGTGGGACTCAAGCAACTGTATTTTTTAAAGTATTCCAAGTAATTCATTGTAATGGGCAGCCAGGACTGGCAGCCTCTGGCAGTTCCAGGAGCTGAGCAGCGAGCCTCGATTTTATTTGCTAGGTTTGGGAAGTGGGAGACAGGAAGCGATGGGAAGGCCCCTTTGTTTACCTTCCTAGCGTTTGGCTGTGACGCCCACAGAGCACCCGGCCTCTCATTCTGCTTTATTTGCACGTCCATTTCCTCACCTGACTGAGCTCCTCTGGTTCAGAAGGTGTGACGCATTCATCTTTCTGTCTCCCAGCGTCTGGCACAGGGGTTTTCACATAGAAGACACTAAATTTGATGAAATGAAGCAAAGGTTCAGACAGTGAAAATAGGGGTACGTTCAGGGACCAAGCTTACCCAGTGGGCTGGAGCTGAGGGATCCTGCAAAGGGTGTGAAGGATAAGCTACAGGGTAAACTGAGGCCTGCTTGGGGAGGAGTTTGGGCACTAGCCAAGGAAAGAGGATTTTATCCAAAAAATCAAAGTTCCCAGGCTTCCCCAAGCCTTAATAATCACCAAGTCTGCTTGTTAAATATGGATTCCTCGAACCATCTCCTGAAAACTCCAATGCAGAAGATCCAGGGCTGGGTCCTGGGATCCCTAGGTGCTCAGGTGAGTCTCAAGGTTAGGCACGTTTCTGAAGCACTGCCCAGAGCACAGGAGGCTGGGCGAGGCTTTGAGGCAGAACAGTACTTTGCTGAGCTCACACTGAGTAGATGCAATTGACTAAGCTCCGGATATGAGTAGCGTCTTATGGAGCATGGAGACCAATATGAGGACAACCACAGGTGGGCTGCACGCCAGCTGCCTCATTGCCAGCACGCACAGGTATTACTCTACATCCTCCATTATGTCTCTGCATGGACAGGGCTGTTTAGTTCCACCCAGGTCATCCCATCTTTCAAGAAAACTAAACTTCTTTTTGTTTGCTTCTTGACCTCCAAGTTCAGCCTTTTCTGTGTTCTGGGACCAGTTTGTTAAAGAATCATGGGGACTCTTCTAGTTACAACCCATCGTTATAGAAATGGAGACACAGCCCTAACCGGTTTGGCTTAGTGGATAGAGTGTCGGCCTGAGGACTGAAAGGTCCCAGGTTCAATTCCAGTCAAGGGCATGTACCTTGATTGCGGGCACATCCCCAGTGGGGGGTGTGCAGGAGGCAGCTGATCAATGTTTCTCTCTCATCAATGTTTCTACCTCTCTCTCCCTTCCTCTCTGTAAAAAATCAATAAGATATATTTTTTTAAAAAAAGAAATGGAGACACAGAGGAAGACGGGGCTCACTCCCTGGGGTCCAATAGGCAGCGAGAGTCCAAGGTGTAAGGTGTGGGTGCAGGATTGTTGGGGGCATTCATCCAAAGAGCTGCAGCAGGACACCGCATCAGGAAGAGGGAGCTGTCCTACACCCTGCCCCAGCCCACCCCAGCAGGCTGCTCTTTGTGGGTCGGGTTATGTTTGCCCCACAGATCATCCTGTGTGGAGAGCTGCTTCCTTTGCCTTCCTTTAGGGAGTTGCTGGGTGACTTGGTAGTTAAGTAAAACTGTGTTTATTTTCATCAGAAATTCTTCAATACTAGTAATAGCTCCTCTGAAACACGTCTAATTTTAAAAAAGGGAGGAAAGTAGAAGAGAGGAAGGAAAGGAGGGAGGGAACGAAAAGGAAAGAGAAATAAAGAAACTAAGATTCATCTCATTCTTAAAACTGTCCCATACACCTTGGGCAGGTCATGTCCCCACCAGGATGTCTCTCCAAGAAAGATGGCCCCAGTATATAGTTCTTAATTACTTGCCTTCAAGCCATGTGTCCCCTCAACTATAAAGCACCAGGTGACACAGGGTAAGGGAATGGGTAAAGACAAGAGCCAAAGAACAAGAAAATTGACACGTCCACGCACAGCATATTGACATATGTTGAGCCAGGTGTGTTTTGACCTTAACTGTTTGTGTGAAACGCTGTCTGTGCTATGGAATGAGACTCAGAAAGTCATCCTTTTGATTTCTTTATGTAGCAAGTGCCCCAGCTTCACCTCGGGAAATGATCAGCCTCAAAGAGAGGAAAACAGACTATGAGTCCACTGGCAGCAATGCCACTTACCACGGGACTAAAGGAGAACACACTTCCAGGAAAGACACCATGACAGGTGAGCTCAGCTTTGTGCGTTTCCCCCTTGGAGCTGGTGACTCGGTCTGGGGTGGAGCAGAGGACTGGGGCGTCAGGCTTCACGCCATGCTTGGCAGCTCAGCAGGACTCAGCAGCTAGCAGGTCACTGGAGAGTTTGACAGCGAAGACCCCCAGGAACTGGGGTTGAGGAGATTAAGCCAGAAGTGTAAAAACTTAGCATCGTACTCCTGAAAAGAGCTAAGAGAAAATGTCCTCTACACACATTATCCTCAGTCCTTCTTTGCCTGCCCTTTCCCTCTCACTTGCCCAGCTCACTTCTCTTGCATTAGAAAGAGAAGTCATCATAGGTTTCTCCTTAGTTAGCATATCAAGTTTTACCATTAGGAATGGAGGGAGGAAAAGGAGAATAAGAAAAGAAGAGGAGAAGAGGGAGAGGGAGGAGGAGGAGAGGAAAGGACTGGGATGGCTGAAAAGGAAGAGGATTTAAGGAAAACCCACAGAACTTCTGTTAAGACATTTTCTCCTCTTACCTTGAAACCAAACTCCCAAAGAGATTCATTCGAACAATGACCTCAATTTCCCTAAGGACGAATTGATCTTTTATGCTCCTCATCTTTCACTACCCCAATCATACCCATTGTCTTTCCTTTCTCATCAGCTAGGACTCTGTGGAGGCCAAACTTGGTGCCCTTCACCACCCCTCCAGGGTGCCCTGCACAGCCTGTTTAACAATCAGACTTGACGTAACTCTCCTATTCTGTACAACTCTCTTTGGGGCAGGGTGTGCCTCTCACATTCATCATCCCCTCCAGGCTCTCCGCACACCTACCCTCTGCCCCCATTTGCCTCTCCTCCAAGGACTTGGAGTCATTGATGTAGAGAGGGTTATGTCTTAGAAACAGAGCTGCCAGAGTCGTCAGAATCTCTAACTAAGGAGTCCCACCCTTCTTTGCCACATGGATATAGAGATGGGTCCCTCCTGAAAATTGGCAATGAGGAACAGGGCCAGACTGGGCCAGTCATTAAACTGGGGTGCGAAGAGCTCAGTCCTAAACACACAGTGAGACCCTCTTATCAGAAAAATCTTAAAAGCATGGGGTGCATTTCTCTAATATTATTTAGATCTGGCCTGCAGGGAAGCAGAACAGACAAATTGGATGATTTATGAAGATTTCTTCCAGACCAGCATATCTAAGAAAATTTTTCTGATGGTAAATGTATTTACCCCAGAGGCAGTGTTTCCGTGGTAATTCTGCACAACTGCATAGAGAAAAGCATAGTAAACAGTTGCCCATGAATCCCCACTCCTAGGTCAGCACTCTGCCTCCACACACAGACCCTATAAGGGAATGTCTACCCTCACTCTTGAAACATCTCCTGAATAAGAGGACTGAGCTCATTACATAGGACATACTGTATTATTCTCATTCACTGGCTTTCCCCCCATCAATGTCACCCTGGTTATAGATGAGCATAAACAAAGGAAGTTGCAAATTTAGATGCCGAGTCCCTAGAGTCAACACATTCAGCAAAGAATCTAATTTGTCCTGATTACTCCAGAGTAATAGTGACACCAAATCCACCTGACCCATTCATTTTGTGATTAGCCACCTCACTGGCAGTCTGGGATGATAAATTGAGATTATAATTACAAGAAAAATTGTGAAATTGACTGCACTGTTATTTAAGTGTAACTTTTCTCTTTAACTTTCTTGCCCAGTGTAATCATTCAAAGGCTTTTAAATGTGGATGTTTGTGTTGAAATAATTCCAATGGCACATGATCATGCCATGCACACATAATGAAATAAAATAAAATCTAATGTGCTTCTGATCTTTAGTCTTCCTAGAAAATGGCAGGGATCTTGACAACTCCAGGATTGAGATATGTATAAATTTTCAAACTCATATAGAGGCTTAAACAGTGTTGCTCTAATTTATTAAAAACACAAATCAATACTACACTGTAAGTCATGTAGCAAGCCTAGAAGAACATTGAGATCTTCATTGAATAGTGTGTTTATACTGGAAGGTTCCCTTTAAGCCAACAAGTACTATGTAAAAGACAGTTGTTGATGGTAGTGGTGATGATGTTGATGGCAATGGTGGTGATGGTAGTGTGCAGTGATGGTAGTGGTGATGATGTTGATGGCAATGGTGGTAATGGTAGTGTGCAGTGATGGTGGTGGTAGTGATGGTGATGGTGGTGGTGGTGGTGGTGGTGATGGTGGTAGTGGTAGTGGTTATAATGGTGATGGTGATGGTGGTGTGCAGTGATGATAGCAGTGATGGTGGTGGTGGTGGTGGTGGTGGTGGTAATGGTGGTGGTGATGGTGATGGTGGTGTGCATTGATAGTTGTGATGGTGGTGGTGTGCATTGATAGTTGTGATGGTGGTGGTGTGCATTGATAGTTGTGATGGTGGTGGTGTGCATTGATAGTTGTGATGGTGGTGGTGTGCATTGATAGTTGTGATGGTGGTGGTGTGCATTGATAGTTGTGATGGTGGTGGTGTGCATTGATAGTTGTGATGGTGGTGGTGTGCATTGATAGTTGTGATGGTGGTGGTGTGCATTGATAGTTGTGATGGTGGTGGTGTGCATTGATAGTTGTGATGGTGGTGGTGTGCATTGATAGTTGTGATGGTGGTGGTGTGCATTGATAGTTGTGATGGTGGTGGTGTGCATTGATAGTTGTGATGGTGGTGGTGTGCATTGATAGTTGTGATGGTGGTGGTGTGCATTGATAGTTGTGATGGTGGTGGTGTGCATTGATAGTTGTGATGGTGGTGGTGTGCATTGATAGTTGTGATGGTGGTGGTGTGCATTGATAGTTGTGATGGTGGTGGTGTGCATTGATAGTTGTGATGGTGGTGGTGTGCATTGATAGTTGTGATGGTGGTGGTGTGCAGTGATGGTGGTGGTGATGGAGGAAGTGGTGATGGTGATACTAGTAGTGATGATGATGGTGGTAGTGATGGAGGAAATGGTGATGGATGGGGTATTGGTAATGAGGATGATAGAGATAATGGTGTGCTGAGACTGGTGGTGGCACTGCCACTTTCTATAGAGGTATGAATAAGTCCCCAGCCAAGCCAGGTGAGAGCCAGTAAATCATATAGGAACGGAAAGAATGAATTGCCAACCTCCACTTGGCAACACTTCAGCAAGTGCCCATCGTTCCAGCATTTATCGACAGATCAGGTGTCTAGCGACCTCTGCATCAAGAGCAGTACTTTTTCTCATTCACCAATAAATCCAGGGACACGTAAAGCTCAGGGCATTGAAACTGCCCCTTCTTTGTTTCTAAGGCATCAGAGGATGTCCTACCATTTCCCCTAAATGAAATAATCCCTCTACTATGGTAAACCAAGAGAAATTTCACCCTCAAAATGCAACCTGGGAAAAATGAAAAAGTAAAAGCAGTTTCTTGCTTGGGTTATAATCTCATCTATCAGGTCTTAGAAATACAGATCCACTTAGGATTTTATCCCAGGCTTCCCTCCACCCACCTTTTCTGGATTCATTTTCCACCTTAGATGGAGTCTCTTAAAATGTATCTGTCTTTAGTGTTTCTTTGCCACTGAGGAGCCTTCAGAAGGCCAAAGTCAGCTGTTCATTCAGGCTTGCAGGACTGATAGCTTTTCCTGGTGGTCATGATCCCTGGGAACATTACGTGTTCAGAAGCTCGCATCACAGGAGGGCTGTGCAATCCTGGCAGCTAGACAGCCTGACCTGAATATTCAACAGGGGATTTTGCCCTTCCTTCTAAGCTTCCCAAATGCCTTTACATCAAATGGTCTATCCTGTTTTTGTCAGTGTCTCTCGTATGCCTTTTGCAGCTATTCTAATCTTTATTATGTTGACTCAGTTAGAAATTGAGGCTTATAAAGAAAAGGAAAGGCATTTTCCGATGAGTCCACTCTGAGCTCCAGATACAGGGGAGAAGCATTCACGAAAACATCTGTTTCATGTGTCTGCAAAGGCCTCAAGTTCAATCTCAGCTACACGCACTCTTCTAAATAGATGAAGGGGCCAAAGAGCAGGAGGAAAGAACTTCCAGTAGAGACAGCTTTAGCTCAGAAGCCACAAACACGACAGGAAGGGAGGCCAAGGCTATCATAGGGCATTGTCTACCAAATAAAATTACATTTAATTCTAATAGAAAACATGTTTTCACCTTATTCATGGAGTGATAATTTCTATCAGCAAATTATGCCTCAGAAAGCAGGTTTTCTTTGGTTTACGCATTCATTCAGCAAATAAAGCACTCATTCTGTGAGCATCCCCAAGGCCAGGCACTGTCCCAGATGCTGGGGATACCTGCAAAGGTGTCAGCTCAGGGAGCTTCTGCTCCCATAAGGGAAGGCAGGTAATACACAAGGTAAACAATAGAGCAAGCTCACCAACAAGGTAATGGCACACGGTTGTTGAGCATGATGGTGAAAATAAACAGGGTAATGAGATAGAGGATTACTTTAACTGACAAGGTCAGGGAGGAGACACTCGTGCCCAAACCTAACCAGCATCAAGATGAGGCAGTCCAGAGTGTGCAAGCAATATCTAGGGAGGAGGATCAGCAAGTACAACATCCCTGAAGCAAAACAAACTTGGCAGGTTGGACCAGCATAGCTAGGGCTCACCACATAAGGGAAGAAGAGTGGGAGACACTTCAGAAAGTTAGGCAGAGGCCAGATCATTCAAAGCCTCATAGACCATTAAAAGGAGCATGGCTTTTACCATAATCCAGTTTGTCTAGCAAGATGATTGCTCAGCTTGGGAACAGGATGGATGGAGGAGCAGGTTTGGGCAGAGTGGACACTGGGCCTTCAGGGAGGATTCTGTAGCCGTGGTCCAGCCGAGGGATGGTGGTTTTCACAGCAATATGGAGACCGGAGCGATGTGTATTCAAACAGAATCTATCTGAGTGGTGTTTCACATTGAAAATAGGCTCTCAGCCCTCACTCCTCCAGTAAAATTTCAGAAGAGGAGTTTTATTGCACAGTTATTATATGCTTGCAGTAATAATCAGGGGTGAAATAGTAGCTTATGCTGACTTTGTGTCTAGAGTGGCCTGTCTCTATGACAGAAAAGATGGTGTGTCATCTTATCTCATTATCCTGTAGATACTGGAAGCCCTTCTTTATTTCTAGAGTGTTTTATACTCAATGACACTCTAGAAAGAAAAAAAGCTTTTCAAAATCTTTCTTTAATCATGACTTTATAGTTGCTATGAAGGGAGTGGTGCCCGGGGCCTTTCCTCTGGGCTTGTGGCATGAGCCTCAAGGGTTCCAGGTGAAGAAGTGGGCAAATGAGCACCCTACCCAGGCCTTTGGAAGCTGCCAATAACTAGAAGAGACTTTCCTTTCTTTCAACTAGACCTTGGGCTGCTCGCAAGACAGAGTGGGGCTCCTGTGTGTGCCTAACAGGATTCCAGAGCCACGGCCACCCAGACACACAGGGCACCTGCAGGTGATGCTTCCCACCTGTCCTTCCGGCCTTTGAGAAACAAACAGTCTGAACAATGCCCAAGCATTTCTGTGAACTCAAATTAGAAATTTCATTCTTGTCATTCTCCTGCTAAAAACTAAGCTGCTGGTACCGATTCCGGCATGCTTCAGTGCAAGTGACAAGCTTTTATTACCCGCCTGTGTTCACCAGGAAGGAAGGCCATAAAACTTTCAAAATGACCATCTGTCTGTCACACCTGCCCTGACCCTGTCTACTATCTGAACATTACTGCAGGAGGCTGACATGCTATGGGGATTTTATAGAAGAGCTGTGCTTCTTTCTTAATTTCTGTATGCAAAGTGAGGTGTTCGAGGCCAAAGAATTTCTTCCACTTGGAATGGTCCAGGAGAAACCAAGCATGTTAGGGCAAGAACTTGCCTCGATAACCATTAGTCCTCCATTTGAAATCTTGCTCTCTTTGCTAATACATTTGTTTCCCTTTGCTTTCAGCTCAAAATACTGGAATTTCAACTTTGTATAGGAATTCATATGGTGCGCCCACTGAAGACATCAAACATAACCAGGTAAAGGAGATACAGAACGTTTGTAGTATTCATTTTCCCCTTTGACTCATGTCAGCTGTCCTGGAATTGTAAAAATACATTAACTTCTTTCTCCCAGGCGTAAAGAACAGCAATGAAAAGGAAGTACTGTCCCCTGCTGCTCTTCCCTCTGGAGTCACCCAGCCTCTATGCGGGTGGTGGCAGTCATTAGAACAGCCGCACATTTGGAAAGAGTCTTAGATTTCACCACAAACACACACTTTATTTCATAGCAGAAAGCAAGTTTCCTACTATGATGCAAAACTAAAAGAAATAAGGCAAGCCCTAATTATACGAGCATAAGATACTGGTTTCTAGACAAATTGTCTAACTACTAGACAGGAATTAAGTAACTCCTATAACCCAGCCAACTCTCATTCAGAAGAAAGCATTCATTATGAGTGATAGTTACTAATGAGATAGACACATCAACTTCAATAGGACAACTAAATAGGATGCATTTTAATGTGCTTTGCAACTCCAAGTCCAGTTAAAGAACCAGCCGTCCCAACATCACTGGGGGCTTGTGAGAAATGCAGAGGAGATTCTTCTCTGACCCTTACCCCAACCAAGGGTTTGTCTGCATCAGACTCACATTTCATCCAGATGTCCAGGTGATTTTGTGTCCGTTCAGGTTTAAGGAGCTCTGGGATGGTCAGTACTTAAAGAACTGATCTAAGTTTGTATGTATGTGTTTTATTCTACAAACATTCATCAAGACCCCTTTTCTCCATGGTTCTATGGGGACTATAAAAGCCAAAAGGCACAGCCTGTGGTCCTTTATTGATGGACAACTTCATACTTTTCTCCCCCTTCAGTGGTCGTTACGGAATGAATGACATGCTTATAACTGTTGGATACTAATATCTGTTGTGAGAACTGGCTTCTTGCTGATGCGCTGGATTCCTCTCAGGCATCAGGGAAGCTGGGCTGAAAGAATAAACCTGAAACCTGTTTGCTTGATCACAATATCTAGATGAAAGCCAACATGGAAGGCCAATGGGTTGTTTGTGGACATTTCTCAACACCCAGCAGGGCAGCATCTCTGAAAAGGGAAAAGGCCCCTTCTAGCAGGTAGAATCTCCTATGCAGGACCATTTCCAAGGAAGAAGAAGGAGGACATGAAAAGTATCTCCTAGACCTGAAATTATTTTTTGCTCTAATCAACCATCAACAGGAGAAATGAGAGTGGGTAGAGGTGTTATCCTTTTGCCCTCAATTTTCCAGTTCGTGCACAGCCACTCCTGAAACATCTGGTGTTGTTTGCAACCCCCCAGGGAATGCCTGGACCCTCCAGCCTGCCTGACACATGGCTAATATCGACTCGAACTCCCTCAGTTCTAGCCTTTGCTAAAAGCAAAAAAAAGCCAATGAATAAACTGAATAAATAAGTCAGGGTATGAGCTCTAGAGGAGAGGTCACCAGGGGCTTCCTCCAACTATTTACATGTCAACATGCCTGCCCAAACATAGAGGAAAATAGAAACAAAATATATTGGAAATGCCAATTCTGTTTATGGAAATCAACCCTTTTTCTTTTAGCAAATATCAGGTACAGTGAGCAAACTGTCCTCAGCTTTGAAAGATGCATGTAGGATGTGATAGGACCCTGATTTGCATCCAAGAGTGGGAGGTTAGTTTTTACTTTAGGTAGATCAGGAGAAGCTGGTCACCAGAATCCACTTATTCTACACCAGCCATTTTCTTGTGGAATTCTGCTGTTGTTGGCAATGAAGAAACACCCTCATGTGGCCCAGAGATCCTTAGCATCTTTCAGTGTGGCTGCAGGAGGCTCCAAAGGACTGCTTGCAATCTACCTTTAGAGGACAGTTCATAATGATTCTAGGGGCATGTTCTTTTCACCTAAGCCTCTTCTGAGCACTTAAGCCAATTACAATTAATGTGCTAAGTTGGTATCTCTACTACAAGAGAGAGCACAGCCTACTGTAGCCGTTTCCCCAGGGTGCCCCAGAATGTACTCAGCTCAGCCTCAGTGTGAATGTCAAGGCCACAACAACTCAGGTGAATGCTGCTGAAACCCAGCAGGGATGGATACCAAGTCCTGCATCACTTGTCAGCCCAGAGGAGATGTTGTCAGCAGGCCACCAGCAGAGCTGAGTCCCGTGGCCATAGTTTAGTGCCATCATTATTCCCTGAGCAGGTTCAGCAAAGGGAAGTAGTCAATTAGACTGTCAACACCATTCTAATATCAAGAAACATTATAAAATGTCAATCAAAGAAAGTTGGTTTTTTTCCTTAAAATTTTTCAAGGAAATCATTGTGACACTCCAATGAAAAACTTGAGAAAAGAATAAAGTGTTTTATTTCTTTCGGACTGCTATGGAAATAAACTTTGGCTGTACCTGCAGTTCCCACTTGGGAACTAAATTAAGTTTGACCATCCTAACCATTTGAAAGAGGAGACAACCTGGTTCTCTTCCAGTTGGGTGGGTCTAGAGACCACCTGTAGACATCATCCATGATGCGGTTTCTCTGGCCACGTGAGCATTGCTGGCCACTCCAGATGGAATTCTTTCATTTGAGGAAGTTCCCTGAGCCAAAAGTGACTTCACAACCTTTCAGCTGGTAAAAAGCCAGCTTGAACCATTTAAGCAGGAGAGACACTCTGGGTTCATTCAGTTTCAGTGTCAAACTGCTGAGCATGCTAGTCTCCTGGGTGTCGTAGGCACCAGCTAGACCTCATGAGCTTCAGAGGTGGCTGCGCAGTGACTCATCTCACAGAAGAAATGATTCCCTAGTGCAGTGGTCGGCAAACTGGGGCTTGCGAGCCACATGCTAAAAGCAGGCCCTTTGAGTGTGGCCACGAAATTTCAATCGCACTGTACGTGCACGCCCGCACGTGGTATTTTGTGGAAGAACCACACTCAAGGGGCCGCAATTTGCCGACCACTGCCCTAGTGGAAACTGGTTTTAGGTGCATCTCTAAAATAAAGCAAAAAACAATGAGAATGAGGCAACAGCAATGTATGGCCTGGTGAAGTCAGGGCCTGGGCAACAACTGTGAACCTGGCTCTCCTGACTCAGAGGAAAAGGAGCCAGGCTGCTACTCAGCTATGACACTCCCCCTGTGACTACCTAGGACTCCAGTCTCATTCTCAGGGAATTCCAAGCTCCTAAAGAAATACCCATTGATGTGAAATAAGGTTTGTGATCCTTGGTTTTTATGTTTGGAGTCAACAGGTTATAGACATAATTTTAAGAGTTAACTACTGAAACACTTCAAAAATTCTACTGCGCTTTTAGCAGTCCATTCCATCCTTATAAAGAAAACTAGCAGACTTAACTGCTATATCCAAATAGCAACAGAATTTTTGTTCATAAACTAGAAACCAAGGGTTTGGTGTTTTGATTCAAATTATTACTGATGACAACAAAACAGCCTCTTGAGTTCCTAGTTGGTTTCCCCAGTCTCACTGCCAGGTGGGAAGGACAAAAAATATTGTCCTCTGAAATGAGGAAATTGACATTCCAGGTGGGTAAGGTTTGCCTTTGGTCACCCATCTAGGAAGAAGTAAAGACACCAACATAGTTCTCCTGCCTTCTTATTCCATTTTCCCTGCTCTGTGCCAACGGTGCTCTAATGTGAGCCTGTTAGACACAGATGAAGGAAGAAAAGGAGGGAAGGAGGGAGGGAAGGAGGGAGGGAGGGAGGAATGGAGGGAGGGAGGGAGTGAGGGAGGGAGGGAAAGGGAAATGGAGGAAAATTGAGAGAGAGCTAGAGAGAGAAGAAGGGAGGAGGGGAGGAGATAGATATAGAAAGACATAAACATACATATATACATACATGTTTATGACTACTTGAAGATTAAACAAAGAAGATTCTGTTAAATATTGAATATAGTGCGCACTGAAATAGCAACAAGCAACACAGTAAATTCTAGTTCCCTCCCAACTCTAACCCTTTGAATGCTCTATGCTTGGGTAGCGGCACAGTGTCAGAGTGGAGAAGCTCAACATCACTTCACAGCTCTTCAAAGAAGAGCTTGTCCAAGTCATTTGGTAGACCTAGTCTTAGCAGCATTTAATCATGTATATTTATGATTAAACATATCCTGCAGATTCGTTTCCAATGTCCTCTCATGGCCAGACTCTTAGATTCACAAATGTCTACGCCTTGTGGACTTTCACAGGTGGACAGAAATCTCATTCAACCACCCCTCACTGGAAGTGTGGCAGGTACTGGATGGCAGCTGTGATGAAGTTCACCCCTTTGAAGAACAGGTTGATTACTAGAATAAATCAATTACATAGAAGGGGGAGTTTTGTGTACTTGAGAGAAGAATTATGCGCAGGCCATTAGAAGCATTCATTTACACACAGCGTGCTAATTGCAAATCATTATCTATTAACTAAGACCAATTTCTAGAGGATGTTTCCATGCTAAACCTTAGTTAAATGAATAGGGAATTACTGAATTGGCTCGAAAATGATCAAATTGTTTCTTTAACAGTATTTTATCATTCACAGCAGACCTCATCCCCGATTATTGCACGTGAGCAGAGCTTTGTGCATGCCTGTGTGCCCTGGCTGTGGGTCTGGCCCTCACCCCACGCCCTGGGAGGTTCTGCTTACTTCAAGGGCATGGTCTTAGAAAGGGACCCCAGCAAGGAAGGAGGAAGCTAGGCCCCTCACATACAAATGCTGATTATCAACCTATGAATGTGCCAAGCAGAGGGAACTAATTCTTGACTTCACATATCTCAAAGTCTCCTGTGATCCCTTTAACATTAAAGGTCCCCTAAATCAGACAGTAACCTCAGAGGACAAGAGTGAAAATGGGGAGCATTGAACTGGCAGTTCTGAAGATTCCTCCCCACTAACAAAAGGCTTCATAATTCCACAGCTTTCTCGAGTTCTATCAGGTCTTAATTGAACCAAGTTAGAAACATTTTGGTCCTGCAGAGTATAATATATTTAGAGTGGATTCTTTCTTTTCATTATGTGCTTCTCTGTGTTTCTTTTTAAAGCTGTGGTACTGGTCACTTAGGCAGGTGTGATGGAATGGCCCTACTATGAGGAAGCTTATTCCTCCAGAGAAGTATCTGCCCTGCCAGGAAGATGCCTGAGTATCATGAGACCTTGTACTGACTCTGTCTGGGATTACAACTCCTAGGAATAATAGAGAAATGCAGGGAGGATACAAATCAACTACTGTGTTCCATAGCATCTCATGTATACCTCTGTAATTTATAAAACTTACCCAGGAAAATGGTGTAGCTGTGGAAGTTTGGTGATTCCTCAAAAAATTAAGCAGAATCACTACAAGATCCAGCAATTCCACTTCTAGGTACAAAAAAACCTTGAAAGAAAGGACTCCAACAGATACTGGTACACATGTTCATTGCAGCATTTTGATAATAGTCCAAAGATGGAAACAACCCAAGCGTCCATCAACAGATGAAAGAATAAACAAAGGTGGTATCTCCATACCTGGTATATCACTTAGCCTTTAAAAAAATGGAAATCTCTTCACATGCTACAGCATGGATGAACTTTAAGGATATCATGCTAAGTGAAAGAAGCCAGACACAAAGACAAATATTACATGACTCCACTTTTATGAGACACCTAGGTGTTCAAATTCCTAAAGACAGAAAGTAGAATGGTGGTTGCCATGGGTTGGGGGAGTGGGGAGTTATGCTTAATGGGAACAGAGTTCCTGTTTGGGATGATGAAAGTCCGAGAAATGGAAGGTGGTGATGGTTGCACAACACTGTGAATGTACTTAAGACCACTGAAGTATACACTTAAAAATGGTTAAAATGGTCAATTTTGCATTATGTATATTTCACCACAATAATAATTTTTTAAACTGAAGCTCTAGAATGGTAGCATGTGGACCCTGTAACCAATATTTTTAAAGAAGGGCAATCAGTAGTTGGCAGTATTAGGGGACGTGCCATGCTGGTTACTGCCTGGGTGACTGACGTTCCCAGCCTTGACCTTGAAGGAGCATGGAGTGCCTTGATCCAGGAGGAGGTTGGATCCAGGGGAAACGAACTAACCCAGGTGGGTCTTGTTTTCCGGGCAGGTTTCTGCACAGCCAGTCCCACAGGAGCCCAGCAGGAAAGATTACGAGACTTACCAGCCGTTTCAGAATTCCACGCGAAACTACGACGAGTCCTTCTTCGAGGACCAGGTCCACCATCGCCCTCCGGCCAGCGAGTACACCATGCACCTGGGACTCAAGTCCACCGGCAACTATGTCGACTTCTACTCGGCTGCCCGTCCTTACAGTGAACTGAACTATGAAACGAGCCACTACCCCGCCTCCCCCGACTCCTGGGTGTGAGGCGGGCGGCACGAGGCGCTCCGGGAACAGTGCATGTGCATGCATACCACGAGACATTGCTTCTTTTAATTTCCCCCCTGCAAGTTTAGTTTGCTAAAGCCTGTTCCGTAGGAAGGCTGTGATAACCAGTAAGGACATACGAAGAGCTATTTTAGAAAGCTAAACGAATCGAAAGTTAACGTGGACGTCAGTAGAAAGCTAAAGCGATCCTAAAGGTGACGACCTTGAGCGACACCTTTCTAGTTTGAGCTGTAGGGTATGGAGGGTATTGAATGTGGCTGGAGACAGCACAGGAGGCGGTCCCGTCGGGGCGGTGGGGCGCGAAGGTTATAAGCACAGAGGCAGGCAGCACGGGTCACACACTCTCGAAGGACGGCTTCTCACGCTTTGTTTCCTCTCTCCATCCGTTGTGATTCTAGGCTTCCGGTTGCATTGGGGTCCCTCTGTACAGCAAGACGTTTCTTGCCTTTTGTTAATGCATTGTTGTAAAGTATTTGATGTACATTACAGATTAAAGAAGAGAAGCGCGTTGTGTATATTACACCGATGCCGCAGTGTTTCCTCATCTATGGTTCTAAATATTGCTTCAATCTCAAACGTTTGAAAGATGTATGGATTTCCAGTTTTCTTTTCTTTCTCTCGGTATGTTTTAACCAAGAAAAAAAAATGGAGAAAAAGGAATATTTAGCAGTATTGTTCGTTCTGATATGTGAACTTGTTTGTGGCAACTAAGCAAGGCATTCAGCAGTTTCTGACAATTAACACACATCATTCCACACTCCTTGTCAACAAAGTGCTTTTTCACTGCCTAAAATTTTAGATGTAGATATTTGAAATAGATTTTTTCATTTATACCAGTTTTCTTTATGATGATACAGTGTTAAAAGAAAATAAATTACAATTGATCTGTCATCCATATTTGCTAAGAATGTCTATTTCCAAGGACCTATCTTACAAAATACACATTCTTGCTCGTGAGTCTGTGCGTGTGTGGGGTGTGTGTATGTCCATGTATGTACAAAAAAATGACCTGTGTGAGGATTTATTTTGACAGAAGCGATTTCATTTGCTGTTCATCTTGTACAAACTGTTCCTGGTTTTCAGTATAAATGTACATCAGTTTGTTCCTTTCGTACGCTCTCTATTCTTCTGACCATCTAGTGACTCAGGACATTAGGCCAGTTGAAGTGAAGTTATAGGATTTTCACACATTCTCCAATGCCAACTCTTTCTACAGGTCCATTTCCCTCCATGTTTTATGCCCTTAGAACACACTAAACCATGGCCAACTCAATAATTTCATGTGGGGGCCAATTACTTGAAGTATCCACAGAAAATGTAAACTGCTCGCCTTATTCCTCCCCAGACTCTTTTTGTTCATGTCACAGGGAGCAGTAGACAATGATGGATTAGATTATTAAAAGTGAACTTGAAGCAAATGTTAGAATAGTGGTTAACAGAGCTAAGAAATAAGGCTAACCATTTAAAAGAACACGGGCTGTGGGTAAATTAGCTTTGCTCTTTAGATGCAAGTGACTGAGGCCAATAGGTGCCTAGTAAATGTTAACTGTTCTTGGAAAAAAAATAAAAAATTAAATAACAAAAGAAATTGGCTGCCATCTTCCTTTAAAACTTGCTCCCCTTCACTCTACCTAGTTTAATTCAGCTCAAAGTCTAAAATCACAGTTTCTTCTTCCAAATTTAAAAACAACCAAAAGATTCTTTTGTTTCTGCCTGTTTTTGTGACTGAAAAGCTAATTTCCAGAATATAGCAGTAGACAAATTTCCATATGAATTGTTCTACAAATTGCCTACATGCTGGACCTGTTGGGCTGTTTACTATAGGACTCTACATTTCTGGATTCCCTCCCAGGAATGTTTCAGTCCCTACAGAAAGAGATAAATATGTAGTATCAAACACAATGTTTCCACTTCGTCCTTGTCATAGAATGAAATAGTGAAGTTCATTGAGGTAGAGATTGTGGTATAGATGTTACTGTCAATTACCGAATAGCTGGTTTAACTTTTCCAAAAGTAACAATAGGACACATTCCCTGGTTTGATTTGTGCAGAGGGAATCCATGCATGTGTTAAAAAGTCCTCCTGGCAAGAACTTCCTGTTCCCTTTATGATTTTGAGTACCTGCATGCCTTACATTTGCAACCCCTTGAAGACCAGGACATCTCTGCTGTCGGTGATGCTCTGAGAGCATTGTGCCAGGCTGGGATGAGCTAATTCAGTCAGGGGCCTCTGGCATCAGAGCTACAGGTAGAAGAAATAGAATTGCATAAGTACTGCCTTCTCAGTTTCCATAACTCCCAGCCCCACACCTCCTGAGAAACTCATTGACATTGGTCCCTGGGGCCTGTTGAATATAAAGAGCATCCAAGCATTTGTAGCAATCGCTCCAGCTTCCAATCGCCAGGTGTCCAAGGCCAGGTGCTGTAATGGGTTCTTCAACAATTGCCCTACTGGTCCAGGCACATTCATGAGCTCCGTTAGGGAAATATCCCAACCAGATACTCTGTTCACTCAAGACCTAAGATTCCGAAGGGCAGCTTTACTTACCTTCTCAATTTTTAAACTTAAAAAAAAATGTTGGCAAGAACAGACCTGGTGCCAGAGTGTGTTCCTGGCATCGAGTGTGCTGTTAGGACCTAGCAGGAAATGGCTGCTAAACTGTGTCATGAAAAGGACATAAATGGACAAAGAAAACTGTATTTTTAAATGGTTCTATTTTGTTTTAGACTGTTTTTAGAGATGTCTAAAAACTCAGAAAGGAGACTGGCAATCTCTTTTAGGTAGAATTTCATTGGGAGTTCAAAGTCACTAGCCCAGTTACTAGGTGATCATAAGCAATTTTATGCAATTAATTTTGACCCTAGTAAAAGTTGAGAGAGCTGAATACAGTAAAGTGGTAAAGAGAGAGATATTTTAAATAATAGGGCTAAAGCAAGAACTCTTCCTAATTGTTAATATGCAAACATAATATTTCCTTGAGGTTGCTGGACTCAGCAAATAAAAATGCAAGACATTCCGTTAAAATTCAATTTCAGTGAAACAGCCAATATTTTTAAAATATAAGTATGTCCCATGCAATATTTGGAAACTTTTCACACTAGAAATTTTTTGTTTTCTGAAATTCAAATTTAATTGGACATCCTGTATTTTTCCTGGCGACCTTTCATTTAACCTATATTTCTGCCATTACTTTTCTAAGGAGTAATGATTTATAGAAAAAGTGTAAATCAATTCAAAAATTCATTACTTGATTAGTCTCAATTATTGTACTACTATTTGATCTTAGCCAAAAGGCTGAGAAGCAATTCAATTACCATAGATGTGACATACGTGTAAAATGGTGGAAATATGAGGGTTGGACCCAGAAGCCTTGTTTGGGTAAGCTAGGTAACTTCTGGGTCTCTCTTTCCCTGTTAGGAAATTGGGGGTAAGAATGCCATCTGACAGTTTTTGTGAAGATCTGGTTAAGTTTATGACCAGTGTTATACTAGTAAATGTTTAACAACTGACTCAGAGAAAAAATATTATTGGTTTATAACATTTGCCAATTTCTGTGCTGTTAGTGCACACACCAAGTTTTCAAGCTACCAATACGATGTCACTAATTCAGTTAGAAGTGATGGTCAGTAACAGACATATTCTCTTTGCAGGATACAGATAAAATAGATGTAAATAACTTCAAGAGCATAGGTAATAGTAAAATGCAGTGAAATAATTAGATTGTGATGGGTTCTGAATATTTATTACCTTTATTTTCACTATCATTCATTTCATTGTAAGTTTATATAATTTAACTAGAGGCCCGGTACACGAATTCATGCACGGGTGGTGTCCCTCTGGATGGCCTGCAGGGATTGGGCTGAAACCTGCAGTCCAACACTGCCTACAGCTTCTACCTGCCGCTCGCGCTTATCTTGGCCCCACTGTGCCTGCTGTGGGCTCACGCCAATCAGTTCCTGCGTCTGGTGCCCTCCCAAGGGAAGTGGCCTGCAGGATCTGGCTGAAACCGGCTCTCCGACATTCCCCAAGGGGTCCCAGATGGTGAGAGAGCGAGAGGGCACAGGCCAGGCTGAGGGACACTACCGGTGCACAATTGGGCCAGGGAGAGACCGCGGGAGGGCTCCAGGGCATGTCCAGCCCATCTGATTCAGTCCCAATTGGTCATACCCCAGCAGCAAGCTAACCTACCGATCAGAGCATCTGCCCCCTGGTGGTCAGTGCACGTCATAGCAAGCAGTTGAGTAGCCTTAGCATATCATTAGCATATTACACTTTGATTGGTTGTTTGGTTGTTCTGCCATTTGGTCTATTTGCATATTACCCTTTTATTATATAGGACTAGAGGCCTGGTGCACAAAAATTTGTGCACTCGGGGGGGAGGGTCCCTCAGCCCGGCCTGTGCCCTCTCTCAGTCTGGGACCCCATGGGGGATGACCACCTGCTGGCTTAGGCCCGCTCCCCAGAGTATTGGGCCTGAGCTGGCAATCAGACATCCGTCTGGCAGCCCGGGAGCCCTCGGGGGATGTCCACTTGCCAGCAGGGAGCAGGCCTAAGCTGCAGTCTGACATCCTTAGCACTGCTGAGGAGGCGGGAGAGGCTCCCACCACCACCGCTATACTGGCAATGGTCAGCCTGGCTTGTGGCTGAGCAGAGCTCCACCTGTGGGAGCGCATTGACCACCAGGGGGCAGCTCCTGCATTGGGCGTCTGCCCCCTGGTGGTCAGTGTGTGTCATAGTGACCAATCATTCCTAGTCTTTCTGCTATTAGGGTCAGTTTGCATATTACCCTTTTATTATATAGGACTAGAGGCCTGGTGCACAAAAATTTGTGCACTCGGGGGGGAGGGTCCCTCAGCCCGGCCTGTGCCCTCTCTCAGTCTGGGACCCCATGGGGGATGACCACCTGCTGGCTTAGGCCCGCTCCCCAGAGTATTGGGCCTGAGCTGGCAATCAGACATCCGTCTGGCAGCCCGGGAGCCCTCGGGGGATGTCCACTTGCCAGCAGGGAGCAGGCCTAAGCTGCAGTCTGACATCCTTAGCACTGCTGAGGAGGCGGGAGAGGCTCCCACCACCACCGCTATACTGGCAGCGGTCAGCCTGGCTTGTGGCTGAGCAGAGCTC